TATAGTGCAATAGAAATTAGTGAAAATTAGTGATCTGGTATAAGTTGAACATGTGATGCTACTCATGTTTCAGACTCATCATGATAGGACGACACTCTTTAGTTCCACAGGATTTGTTAGTAAAACTAATTCATAACACAGGGGCTGCCRATGGGGTGGGGCAGGGGGTCTACAGCCCCCACTTTTTTCCTTTTCCCATACAAGCCTCTTATATTTTCCAATCTTAGCCTCCCCACTTTTTAAGATGGCCCCTGTATTACTATACCAAGRATACTAATATCCCTTTGCCGACAGTCTTTTGATGCACTACCAAAAACAAACTGATATTTGACTGTCACTTGACTTGTTTTTCCATTGCCTTAAGGCAAGGTGGGAACCAAGGTACAAAATAGCGAACCAATTTTCTTGATTTAGGGGCTACAAGACTTAGTGTACCAATACCCCCTCCCAGAGATCTGTTTAAATATACCTACAGCTGTATTTCAAAAAAAACCTTGTCGGTCAGAGATCTGAAATTTGAAATCTGAGGCCAAGTATCTTGCTGCAAAATGTTATGTATTCAATGCCAAACAATGTTAGTTTCCTTTTAAGTTGGAATATGAAGCATAATGTTTGAGTTAGGAATGCGATTTTTCCTATCTTAGCCAGAAAACATAAAAGCACAAAATTTCTGTTCAGTCTCAGACAGCCGACTGACAATTTTTTGAAATACAAATATACAAATATGTTGTTTGTCTGACCAGGGTTCGTGCTACTCCTTAAACTCCTTGAAAACTCCTTGAATTTTTGCTTTGATCGTTACTTGCATGGTTCTGAAATAGATCTAGTCAGAAAGATTGGAAAATCTGAAAGTCGGCCATGTGCAACCACCATGTAAGACCTTGGCATAGTTAGCTGAACATACTYYTTGAAAATTCATTTTTGGGTCATTGTATACTCCTTGAATGTTCCTTGAATTTAAGTGGTTACCTCAGCACGAACCTTGTCTGACTCACAATGTGTTTACATTGTTATTAGTGAKTATTTATTAGTTGTTTTTTTTTTTGGAATATTTTTTTCTCATCAAATTTTTCCATTTAGGCTGGTTACCTTGACAGCCTTACRTCAACAGAATTTGTAACACTGACTCGCATGGTAGAAGGCTATGTTGTTGATTGTGAGGCAATATGTGGTAGACAAAGTCACAGTCTACGTGCCACACTGCTCTCACAAGCCAAAAAATTCATTGAAAGATTCCATGAGGAACGAAGAAATAAATTRGGGTAGGTCAGAGGTCATTGTAGTTGGGTTTCCTGTGTTTTTTTATCGAGACCATTTAGTAATCTTTTTTTTATGTGTGTCTTTTTAGTTTAATTTTAGACAACGAACGATGGAAACAGGCAGATGTTCCTGCTGAATTCCAAAGATTAGTGAACTCACTGACTGATGGTGAGTATGGCATTGTGATGCTGGATCCTCATGATCTGGCAATAATCATGATTTATATTGAAGACAATGATGAAGATGATAATGATGGTGATGGTGATGATAATGCTTTTAATGAGGATAGTGATGATGGTAGCAATGACGATAGTGATGATGATGCTACTGATGATGTTATTGATGTTGATGATGCTGGTGATGGAATTGATAATGA